CACCCGTTATTGCCCCTGGAACATCTACTTTGGGCAGCGTCCATCTGATATAACGCCTGGGACCTTATGGTCTGCGCATTTATGGTGCATTCGGCCTGTGGAAAGGAGTGATAGAGGATGGCAGTCTCAGGGGTGGGGACTTGGCGTTTTAAAAACCGGCGCTCTCCCTTCCCCCCTCCCGATCTGTTCCAGCCACCCCCAGACTTTGGACCCCCAGACTTTGGACCTCTCAGAACTTTAGGAGAGGGAGAAGACAAGACATGCCCCTGCACACTATCTTCATATCCCCTATGGACCGTTATTGGTGATTGTTTTAAGCTACATCTTGATCTGGAGGGTGTGAGACTGCAAAGTTGCTGCTCGTTAACATCTGGCATTTACGCCTTGCCCCCCTTCATCTACAACCACCTTGCACAAGACGGACTTTTGGACCTTTGGCCTTGGGTGTCTTTCTGGGACTTAGAGGAAGGGAGAGGAGCGGAGCAGCTCTCCCCCCTCCTTCCATACTACCGTTTATCTTAAACCACACTAGTGCAGTGCTCCGAAATTTTAAGAATGTGGTATGGATGGTGTGCCTGTTTGATGTCTGTACCCACTTTTTAAAATTTTATTATTGTTGTAGTTTCTGTATTTTTAACTGAATTATGTGGGGACTGTATGGGTGAGTGGTTGTGTACGTATATGAGGATTGGGAGTATAACCTGGTGCCTCCTCCACTGAGTGCGATTGCAGAAGTGGTAGGGGGGCCCAGGCCTATCTCCCATCCTAGAATGACTGATATAAATTGCCTGCCGGAAGGAACGGAGGCTGTGAGGGGGGAAATGAGGACTACGGTTGTGGGGGTGGGATGGAGCATTACGGTCACGATGGGGAGGGGCAGGTACGGCGGGAACTTCAGGGCTAGCCATTACCGGGGAAGGAGGGTTCGCTATGTCACAGCTATCCCCCTTTCTGGCCCCGTTAGTTCCACTCCAGGGCCAGATGGCGAGAGTGGTCAGGACCCTGGCCTCAGGCTGTTGTTGCTAAATGCCAGGTCTGTGGTTCACAAAGCTCCCCTCATCCGGGACCTGATATTAGACGAGGGGGCAGACCTGGCATGTATTACTGAAACCTGGCTGGGCCCAGAGGGAGGAGTCCCACTCACTGAAATGTGCCCAGAAGGGTTTCAGGTGCTTCATCAGCCGCGACCCCAGAGAAAGGGGTGGGGGAGTGGCTGTCATCATCCGAGGGTCATTAGTTCCTTGTAGGATCCCTGCTCCGGAGCTTGTCGGGT